CTCGTTCAATAAATCATCGCCTTAACTATCCATAGATAACGTCAAACTGCATAGAAACATCATAGTTAAATAAAGGGTCATTTTCTATAGTTTTGTAATCATATATTATTTCCGGATTGCAGATCTTTATACACATTTTATATATATTTTTATATAAAATAAAATTCTCCAGGTCAGCTGCAAGAAAGAGAAAATAAAAAGAAGCCGAAGTTCTTTTTTCATGACCGTCACATGTCCAAAATAGTGTAACAGTGTCCTAAAATTATTTTAATGCCTTAACAATTTTGTATTTCATTTTTATGACAAATGCATAAAATCGAGAATCTAATTATTACCAGAGTAATATTGTAGTATTGTCAGTAAACAATAATATTGCTTTTATTGCGAAAAATATTTTTAAAGAAAAATAACCTAGCACGAATGTATTCTATACATTTATATGAAACTATTGTATACAGGATGGGGCATTTGAAACGAGACACCTGAATAAATCACTCGGTTTTGGCATTTTAAAAAAGTGTTTGATTTCGTAGGACAGATAATAATTTTAATATTAATAATTTTAATATGTTAAATATATAATATAATGTTAATAATTTTAATTTTAATTTTAATTTTATTAAGTGGAGGTATGCAGGACACATGAAGATCAAATTTGTATTTCTAAATAGGATGACGTAATTTTTGATTAACATTCTGATAGATGCTTAAAAAGCCTTATAAATGAAGGTCATTCAAGGTCACAACATATGAACTACAATGAAAAACAAATTCTTCTGTCGCGTTCAAGTTTCTTTGTACTAACATGCGAATTTTGTTCTACAGCGGCTAAAATATTTATCGCATTCGCCTCATTAGCCACTTTTTTAACACGATTGAGTGATTTATTTGCCACACTTCCAGTTTCTTGGAATTTTTTATAATATATGACAATATTGACAATGAAGGTCCGACATGATCGGGAAATCTTTCACTATAGACACGCACACTGCTTCCCTTATAATTTCACGACAGTCGCCGTAAATGAAAATCATATCTACTTTATCTGTATTTGTACAATGCATTTTTCAAAACCGAATGTTAATGCAAAGTCGCAATTTAGTCAAAGGACAAACTAGTAATAAGATCCGTAGATACAGATACCGGTGTAATGCGATTTAATGTGTTTACATTTATGGTCTATGAACCATAGTGATGATAACGAGAGGAATATGAGCCGTTTATTTTGAAAGTGGCATAAGTCACTTTACCGTAATGAAAAGTGGTGATTTTTTAATGTTTATACGAAATTATTTATACTGAGAAAAATATCAGTATTCTGAGATAACAAATACAAGTAAATCTTCTCGAAAGTTAGCATCCATATTTTTAAACGTGTTAAAACGCAAACCCTTAAATATATCGACTTAAAAACAAAGTGACCGACTTAAAAACAAAGTGACTTATGCCACTTTCAAAATAAACGGCTCATATATTAACAACTGCGGAACACGCAAGATATTTGAAAAGTGTCTTGGAAGAATGTTTTTCATTGTAGTTCGTATGTTGTGACCTTGAATGGCCTTCATTTATAGGTCATTGTATTCGTCTTGAAAGGCTTTATCAGAATGCGAATAAAAAGTTAGGTCATGCCATTTAAAGAAACAAGTTTGATCTTCATGTGTCCTCTACGCCTCCACGTATAAAAATATTATTAACGTCGTATTATGTACCCCTCAAAATCGAACAACTTTCGTCTGACACTTTCTTTTTGTTGTTAAAAACAAGCGAGTTATTCAAGTGTCTCGTTTTAAATGTCCCACCCTGTATAATTAAATGCCACTTTGATATCAATGCGAATACGTTCGATCGCGACTGTATAGTTCTAGTGATTATCGAAACAGACGTATCTAGCTTTTTTCCCGAACGCTAAGCAGCTTATTCACATTCGGTACGGATTCGATATTTTTCTTCTCGCCGGATATATCAGATTGCGTAAATTGTTTCGAGATTTACGGTACCACTAAAATCGAGTGGGCATTTTCATTGGCCATGTGTCCCGTGCGTTTTAGAGGCAAAGTAGCCGTTCACGATTTATCGCGTTTCGAAGTCCCCGAATCATCGCATTCCTTCGCTAGGATCTAATAAAGTGATATAAAAATAGAAGAAAAAAGTGGAGCAGGAGCCGCGAGCGGGTAAGACAGTTTTAGTTGCCGGTTCTTGGAAGTTTCTTGCGTCAACGGGGGTCGAGCCTCGAAATGAGTCAAACTTAAACAACCGTGGAAAAATGGTCCAGCTGTGCCAGGCCATGCACAGAGCTCGCCGGAAGTCCCTGCAGCCGCAACCGCGTCAATTCTTTCCGACACTGACGTTCATGTTTTAGTTCGTCTACCCGTCCGCCGGGAAACAGAGACAAGTATAACGTGCACAGATATCTGTATGCAGTGTCAACTTTGTGCAAACGTTCCGAAGTGCGGGAAATTTCCGTCCCGCGGCGGAAACTCGAGCGACGATCGATCCGCGAGTCTTCAGTTCACGGAATACGTGTGATTTTAGTGATATACAAGCGGTGATCCAGTTGACGTACTCCTAGTTTTCCCCACGTTGGGCGGGGATGATCTATGGATCGATATCTTCTTGGTAATTTCGTTCGAAAGCGATGCAAAGTATTTACTCTGATGACAGGATTTCACTTGCCGTAATGTCACGAAATAAAATCGTGCGATCAAAATTCGTTCACTTGACGAATAAATCTGTATGTGACGAAATTATTTGCTCAGATTTAAAAATTAATTTGTGCGATAATTTATTATATTTTCTTAATTTGATTAGGATTCGCAAAACGTAATAATGTTGAAAATGTAATTGATAATGTACAGCTTAACTTATCAATCTTAATTTGATTAATAAAATACTTTAATTTTATGAAATTTCTGAGGTGGCTAGCGTGGCGGTCGAAGTGTTAAAATGTCTAAATTAAGCTAGGTTGTTTCTAACGCGTTTAGTATTGGAAATCAACCCCAAAAGTTCCCACAAAATCACAACGATTTAACTAAACTAAACAAAAACTTGAGAGTTAAAATTGATCACAGTAGATACATGATATTTATTCGAATATATTGCAACTAAAATGAATTTTTAAAACTGTTATAAAGTTAGTCTGCAATAAATAACATAAAGCATGTTAGGTTGACGCATACGAAATAAAAATCGCTTACAGTGACTATTAAAATTGAAGGATGAAAATAATATTTTTGGTAAAAACTTGACTACATTGAAGTTGTTGGAACTTTGTGGAAAAATGTCGGATAGCGATTTATCTGGATTCATTTTAAAAGTTGAAACATCTGCACTTTCATTTTTATGTTGCTTGTTACGTATGAAAATTTTTTGCAGCAGCACACGAACGGGAAAGTGAAATGTCATACCTGTGGCATATCTTTTAATCAAAGCGCGATGAAATGGTAATGAAAATTCATACATTAAATTTATCGGAGTTGTTGTACAGACAAGATATTAATTTGCAACTTCATAATTGTTTGAATAGCAAACCAAATTTGCCGAGCCGCGCAGAGACGTTCAAATCTGCAAGACCATGGAGAGATAGAACCACTTTTGTCTTTTCATTTGCATTCTAATACAGCATTTTTGTAATAAAACAAGCCGAGGATGTGAAAGTAAATACTTTAGGCAGTAGGATAAGTCCAAGTGGACGCCCCCCCCCCCGATTTTTCTTTGTGAAGTTACGATAATTTCAATATGGTCAATATTTCATTTGCGATTAAATGGTTTCTCAATTTCAATAGTTAGCGCAGTTGTTTTCCTTCTTCTATGCAGTTACCTAACACATTTCAGAAAAAAAAGTTTAGAAAGGTGAAAGTAGTATTCTAGACTATGGAATGAGTGCAGGTAGATTACCTATCGATTCTTTTCTCATAAAGTTACAACTTCGATGTGAACGACTTTTCTACTGAAAAGCGACCCTGTAATTTTAATACTCAACTTTTTATAAAGTTACTTAATGGAGTTTACGATAAAATAATAGAAGCTTGCGAAAGTAGATGCTTGTTTAAGATGAGCCTTTGGAAATGCTTGTACTATTTTTTTCACGCAATTATGATCGCTTAAATATCGGCAATTTTTCATCCAAAGAACCATCAATTTTAATATCCACGTAGTCACTTTTATTTTGGCACAGAAACTTAATGCATTTTATTAAAATATGATTCAGAAAAGTGAGGTTCTACTTTATGAAATGAGCCCAGGTAGACGTGTTTTTATTCAGTTACAGCAGGATAGAAATCCATTTAAAAAGCGGTTCTCGAATTTTCAACCTGATTTTTAATTCATAAAAAACTTGATCAGATGAAAATAGAAGCGTCAACCTATAAAATGATCCCGCATGGACCGCAATCTAATTTCCCTTTGCTAACTCACAATTGGACTGCGGATTTTCTGGATTTACGACAAAAATGAATAAGTCAAACATGAAATTGAAAAAATATTCGAAGAATTTAACATTAAATTCAGTCTTCTTAATTACTATTTCCAATTTATTGAAATTACATAGACACTCTCTCATAGGAAACGATTGAATAAACTTCTCAATTCAGGCACAGACTATAATAAAAATAACAAGCTGTCTCAATAAATTCAGACTTGTCATTCTTATAAAGCAAGACACGTCAGTTACCTTTATAGCTCGCTAGATTTAATGTTATTATTTTTCATTTGTTACAGTTGTTATAATATATATGATTATACTGAATATGTTCGATTTTCTTCATATTTTGTTTAAATACAACATTTTTATAAAATTTAATAAAGAATATCCGCGTGTAACATTGTTCGTTATGACCAATATGTTCATGAAAATGGCCAACTAGTTAAAAGCGAGAAAATATTTTGATCCTGGACAATTTTTATGTCGCAGAGAGATCCGCAGTCTAGTCGCAAAAGTTCAGTGATTCTTCGAATTCTTTGAATAATTTACGTAGTACCTGAATTACTGTCGTTTACAGCAGTGTCTGGCGAGGCGGAGCACGACGGGAACGCGGCGTGGCCAGGGGAAAGTGAAATCTTTCGCGTGCAATTTTCCGCTGGAAGCCTTTGAGGTGCAGCATCGCATCAGGATGACGAGGAGCAGTTTGATCTTCGCGACGATCATTTCTCTCTCGTTGGCCGCTCCTGAGACGCGATTAAAAAAATGTTGCCCGCCGGGAGAGGCGTTCTGCAGCTTGACTACTCGGCCGGAAGTGAGCTGCTGCGTCCCGGCGAAGCAGAACGCGTCGGAACTTTACAACGTGGATCACGAGGTCACCGGCCACCAGAATGAATTTCCGATCTGCGAGCAACCGGAGGATGTCAATACGCTCCTCCTCCCGGCGCTGAACAGCACCGATTTTCTACAGGTAGGAGACGGATTGGCCGTTTTGCCATTAACTCGGTGCCGCTCGTAAATTTTCGAAGCGCGCCGAGCTAACAGCGATGAATAGAATTGATCGAGACCGCACGACCTCTTTCTCCAGCCCGTTTCCAACATCTACGCCTTCTATCGATTATTTTCCATCTGACGGCTTGTTGAGAATGCTCGCGAACCTCTCCACAAGCCGCTCTTTATTCGAGATTTTAATCCTTCTGCATTGAGAAACGATGCAATCATCTGAACAGGGTATCCTTGGAAAGTGAGTTATCTTTGCTTCGTTCGGAATTTTTGGTATATACCAGAGGTATTTAGTAGAGATCGGCCAAAACCTGATATGTTTAGATTTGCGAAACTCGAATTCGAAATTTTACGAGCTTTCGAAACTCTCGAAACCTGGAATTTCGATTCTTCTCCTTTTTCCCCCAAGGAGTATCTATTGCGTCAGGACCTAAAACCTTGGCAAATTCTTTTCGGAAAATTAAATTATTTATTCAATATAATTCTCCCCACTTGTCCTTCAGGCTTATAAAAAATGGATAATTTGGGAAGAGGAGATACGATTATTGCGCCTCGTTTTTGTAGTTGTTCACAATCGGTAACAATAAAAACGAGGTGCACATACATAACCTCTTCCCAAATCGTCCATTTTTGTTTACAAGTTGAAGGACAATTGGGGAAAATTTACTGCAGTTATAATTAAAATTTTTTCTCGATATAAACGATTGATGAAATCGTATCAAGTTAAAATGTGTCTAAAGTCCAAACACACAAACAAACACACACACACACACACACACACACACACACACACACACACACACACACACACAGACGCACGC